AAAAACCCCTAAATCGGTTCGTTTTCGTCGCACGTATTTTGGGGGTGTTTTCGTCGCATCAGGGATGGGACATCGGATTTTTGGCCATTTCCGTCGCACGTCGGATGGAACATCGCTCCGCATAAGGCCTTCCCAAACCCTGGTCGTCAAAAAATTTCCCCAAATCATGTTTTTGGCCGTGTTTGCCAAGTTTTTACCCCATTTTTTGCGTCCCCGAGAGACATTTTCGTCGCATAGCGGGATGGAACATCAGCATCGAAAAGCCGTTTTCGTCGCACTACGGATCGGACGAAACGCGATTTTTCGCTCAAAATTCGTCGCATCAGGATGGGACCTCCGTTAGCATACGCAGGGGTCCTGGCGTGTGGCAATCAACTCCTTTCGTGACGACTTCGGACATCTTGCCTCCATCCTTCTTGTCTCTGAACTCTGTAGCTCGACTACAGCGTCTTATTTTTCAACGGGATGTCCTCCAAAAATACCTTGACCCTGACTCCGACACACTACGGGATTGACTCCGCGTGAGCCTTCTTATTGACAACCACGATCACTGCATTCTCTCGACGCTATCACGAGCGGGACTACTGTACTTTTTCGCGCACAGGTTCGTGTCCCGTGTCCCATGGGTGCCGCGAACGAACTTATTCCACGGGACAGTCCCACCCCATTGACGTGCACTGAACTTGTAAATGGGACATACCAAAATTTGACGAAAACTTGACAAATATTTGAGAATATATTTTAGGGTCCTAAATTGACCTCAGGAAGGCCCCCAAGACACAATTTGGGCCAGATTTGCTACTGGGTGAGCTCCCCCACCCAAATGCAGAGCATAAGTGGCTGTTGAGCGGTCATGAAAGGTCGTATCCCTGAAAAAGCGTCCATGTTCAAGAACATCGTCCTTGTCCCGATCTGTTTGCGAACCGGGACACCAACGGATTATGTCATCTCGGCAACGGCCGAGGGGCGGTGGCGCGAACTTGTGCGCGAAAAAGTACAGTACTTTTCGACGACTACGACGAGTTTCACCTAGGTTCATGTTCGATGCAAATCGAAGCCTCTCTTCCAACTCGACTGCTATATATCCGATCTCCTCTATTCTTTGTCCTTAGGTTAGGTTATGAGCACTTTTCACCGATCCTAGGAAAACTTTTACATAGTAAACCCTAGGTAAAGACCTAACCAGAGATTAGGGTTGGGCCCTATAGAGTACACACTGTACACCAGCCCACGCTGCACACATACCATAATGCAAAGCACGTGACACAATAATTACAGAGAGTAAACGGTAGTGCTGACTTTCCCTCTCAGACGGATTGCACAGCACATACAACACGTTAGATGTGCGCACTGGCTGCTCACTGCACAATCCGTCCAGGACGGAATACGCTGCAGTGACGGCTTGTATCAGGTACTCGAGCAAGCACTCCTACCGTACAATCCGTCTGGGAAGGATTACTCTGCAAAGACAGCTCTCCACGTATGAATGCATGTTCTACTCAAGCAATTTCCGTCCCGGAAGGATTACACTGTGCTGAAGGCTTGCCCCAGCTATCACAGTTGATGTACTCACCATAAAATCCATTCCAAACAGATTACACTGCAGACAATCGCTTGTGTCATGTATGTGAGCGAGCACCGACATTGCAAAAACCGTCCGGGATGGATTACACTGCAAGGAAGGCTTGTATGATGTGTATGCCTTCCCTACTGCAGCAATTTCCGTCCGGGACGGATTACACTGCAGAGAATGCTTGCATCACATACGTGAGCGGGCATCAACATTGCAAAGACCGTCTTGGATAGATTACACTGCAAGGAAGGCTTGCATGATGTGTATGCCTTCCCTACTGCAGCAATTTCCGTCCGGGACGGATTACACTGCAGAGAATGCTTGCATCAAATACGTGAGTGAGCATCGACATTGCAAAGACCGTCCGGGACAGATTACACTGCAGAGAATGCTTGCATCACATACGTGAGCGAGCATCAACATTGCAAAGACCGTCTGGGACGGATTACACTGCAAGGAAGGCTTGTATGATGTGTATGCCTTAGCTACTGCAGCAATTTCCGTCCGAGACGGATATAAGTGGAGTGGAGGCTTGCCTCAACTATGTGAGCAAGTATTATTACTGCAGAAATTGTCCAGGTACTGCAAAAACCATCCGGGAAGGATTACACTGTAAAGATGACTCATATGCGCTGTATACCTTCGCTGCTGCTGCGATTTCCGTCTGGGACGGATACAAGTGCAGTAGAGGCTTGTCTCAGCTATGTGAGCAAGTAACATTACCCCAGAAAATTTTCAGAACGGCAAAAAACTGTCCGAGATGGATTTACACTGCAATGGAGGTTTGCGTGACTTGTATGGCATCGCTGCTGCTGCACTTTCCGTCCGAGACGGATATGGCTGCAGTAGATGCTTGTCTCAGCTATGTGAGCAAGTATTATTACTGCAGAAATTGTCCAGGTACTGTAAAAACTGTCCGGGACGGATTACAGTGCGAGGACAACTCTTATGCCTTGTATGCCTTCCTTGCTGCTGCGCTTTCCGTCCGAGACGGATATGGCTGCAGTAGATGCTTGTCTCAGCTATGTGAGCAATTGTTATTACCCCAGAAAATTTTCAGAACGGCAAAAAACTGTCGGAGATGGATTACACTGCATGCGAGGTTTGTGCAACTTGCATGCCTTCGCTACTGCTGCACTTTCCGTCCGAGACGGATATGGCTGTAGTAGAGGCTTGTCTTAGCTATGTGAGCAAGTATCATTACCCTAGAAAATTTTCAGAACGGTAAAAAACTGTTTGAGATGGATTACACTGCAATGGAGGTTTGTGTGACTTGTATGGCATCGCTGCTGCTGCACTTTCCGTCCGAGACGGATATGGCTGCAGTAAATGCTTGCCTCAGCTATGTGAGCAAGTATTATTACTGCAGAAATTTTCCAGGTACTGCAAAAACTGTCCGGGACGGATTACACTGCAAAGACAACTCTTATGGCTTGTATGCCTTCCTTGCTATTGCGCTTTCCGTCCGAGACAGATATGGCTGTAGTAGAGGCTTGTCTCAGCCGTGTGAGCATGTATCATTACCCCAGAAAATTTT